ATATATATATATATATATATATATATATATATATATATATATATATATATATATATAATATATATATATATATATAATATATATATATATAAATATATATATATATATATTATATATATATATATATACATATACGTATGAATGTCTGCATATGTATGAGTGTGTGTGTCTATGTATGTGTTTGAGTGTGCGCGTGTGTTATTATGTGTGTGTGAGTGTCTGTGTCTTGTATATATAGAGAGATATACGACGACAGTATAATGAACTCCGCCAGCCAAGCAACCCACTTCCACTGACCTTACATCAAGATCAATATCTGACACATGTGAATCACTCCAACACGCTGCTGCAAAAAGGCCATGTGATTCGCACAGATTTTGCAAATATCCATGCCATAAATACGGGAACTCCTGCCTGCGACCCGCTCATTGGAATCAATATGAAATCTATGGCACGAGGATAACGCTAGCTGCGCAGGCTATATTCATATCATACAGTTTCCACGGACTCCTAGAGGACAAAATACTACCGGAATGCGAGAGAAGAATATAAAAAGGGCGATAACAAAGCGCGTGCGGGAGGGAGGGAGGGGGGAGGTCGAGAGAAAGGAGAAAGCGATATAGATGGAGATAGATAGATGAATAGATAGAAAGAGAGATAGGGAGAAAGAGAGAGAGGGGGGGGAGAGGGACGAGAAAGAGAAAGAAAGAAAAAGGGAGAGAAAGAGAAAGAGCAAGAAAGAGAAAGAGAGAAAAGGCGAAAAAAAGAAAGAAGAAGAGAAAACGAGAAAGGGTGAGGGAAAGAGAGATAGCGAAAAAAAGATTGAGAAACAAAGCGAGAAACAGAAAAAGAGAGACCGAGGGAGAAAAAGAACAATGATGCAACGCGTCTCAGCCAACCCCGAGACTGCCAGCCTAATTATGATTACCTAACCGCTCATTACGTCGCATAACATATGTTTACCTCCAGCCCGCTGACCCCGTGACAAAAAAAGACGTCACATTTACCCCCCCCCCTTTTTTTTGCAGCCGCATAGGAAAGGGTGGAAGTCCCAGAAGGTGATCTAGCAAGATCGTTTGAAGAACAAGCCCGGAAAATGAATCAGCGAGAGATTGAAAAGTGGTGGGGCAAACCCACATGCTGCTTTCTTGTGTTTTATTATCGTAACAAAAGTAAATAATACAAATCTTAAGATTACTATACTGTATTTACAATCTTTGTACATTGCTGTTAATGTTTTGCGTCTATTTTACAGCACTGCTGCATAGTCTGGGTCTGGCTGTCCGTTCTCCAAGACGGAGCGTTTCTTCTCCCCAAGCTGTGGTCTCTTCCGTGAGGGTGCTCAGTGTGCTGTTCCTCGGAAGTTCTGGCCAGTTCTTCGTGTGTAGAGTCTCGTGTTTTTTTGGCTCGATTCTGTATTTGTCGTGCAGTTCTGATATCGGAAGTCTGGTGTCTTCTTCGTTTCTGTTTGTTTATGTCCTGAGTGCTCGGTTCTGGAACTGCTGCATCTTCCTGAAGTTTGTTTTTGGCCGGGTTCTCCATGATCGGTCTTATCAGGGTTTTGTAAAATTACAGTTGCGTTTTCGTATTCCTTCCTTTAAAGCGATTGAGTTTGGTGATTTTTTTCCCCATTGCTAGTCTTCTTTTCATGTGAATTGACACCCCGCGGGTGCAGAATTATGTGCCAAGTATCATTACTTTATTGCAGAATGGAATTCTCTCAGTCAACAATTACTTCCTTTGGTTTTGAGGTTGATGCTGAGAGAAGTTGAAATTTATTCTTATTTGTTTTTATCTTCCATCTCTTTTCGAAGTCATTTATCCTTTTGATTTCATTAACGGTATCTGCTTATACCATTCCTTTTGACTTTAATGGATATAGCATGATCTGAGTTATATCGTCGGCAAAACTGACGTCTACGCAGTTGTTTGGTCTTTCCAGGTCTGCCGTGAAGAGTATAAAAGGAGTAGGGCTTAATGTTGCCCCTTAAGGCACTCCGCTCAGTAGTGGGAATTTTCGTCCTATAACTGTATCGAGTCGTATTGTTGCTGTTCTTTCCTCCACGAAGTTGCAGAGGATCTTTCTAATGGTACATTGATTTGCAGTATTTTGTATAGCAGTCCCGGTTTCCACATTTTATCAAAAGCTTTGGCAACGTCTCTGCAAAATATGTTGCACTGCTGTCAGTTTCTCAATGAAATAGCGATGGTTTCAGATATGGAAGTAATTGCTCGTTGTGTTCCTCTACTTTTTCTGAAACCATACTGGTTAGTATTAAGGAGATCGTGTCTTTCCATGTATCTCGGAATACGATTGTTGATAATATTTTCAATTTTTTTTTTTTTTTCCGGGATTTCTAATAAGGAGATTGGTCGGTAATTCTCGGCTTTTCTTGGGTCCTTTCCTTCTTTGGGTATGAGAATCATTACCGCGTTTTTAAACGTCGGGAAAATAACCCATCGACAGGGACCAGTTGAAAAATATTTTGTTTTTTCTATTACTGCCTCCGGTAGTTTTTGCATAATTGTCTTTCTGATTCCGCTTTCGCCGGGTGCTTTGTCTTTAGATTTATCTATGATTATTTTTATTTCTTCTTATGATATTAGTCTGGTTAGAGGGCTGCCATCTTGCAATCTGTTTAGGTTTGCTTCTCTGTAAGGAGTCAGTCTTTGCATGTTTACAGACAGATAGTCTTTTACCTGGGCTTCGTGTTGCATGTCGAATGTTCTGTTATCATCGGGGCTGATGTTCAAGATGTTCTTCCAGAAGTTTCTGAAAGCTGTTTCTTTCTGTTTGCTATCAAAGATTTTCTTATTTTTAAAATTTATTATGTAAGGAGTCTGATTATGTTTGCTTCCCATTAACTTTCTTACTTTCCCCCAGAACTTTTTAGAGTTGTTGTACTCTAGTTCTGTAGTTTTTATTAGATTATTCCAGTAATTAGTGTACAGAGCTTTACTTTCTTCCTTCAGGTCTTCCTGTAATTCCCTGTATTGGTTGCGTGATGCTGGTGCCCAACCAAAATGTTAATGGGTGAGGTAAAGTAGCAAACCTTTTGTCTGATATGGCTTATCCAATGCTCTCTCGGTAGTAGTGTACGATGCGTCGATTTCGGTGTTGATATATTCCTTACAGATTACTGTATTCTCATTGTGTTCTGTGGTCATATGATCATCTACTTGTTTAAAAAGTTCCCAGTCTGCAATTTTTAGATTGAACATTTTCTTTTGCGGGATCATGATGGGTGATGTTGCTAAGGTGGAAGAATATGGGAAGATGGTCTGACGTGGTTATTGGTCCTTGTTGGATAGCATGGTTCATGTGGGTGTTTTTGTTCCCAAGGATAATGTCTGGACGACCTTTTCCTCTTGTAGTGACGAAAGTATCGAAGTCCGGGCCAATGTGTGTGATCATGTTTTGGTTCATTAGATTCGTCTGCCATGTGGTTGTTGCTGTTCTGGCCGAGCGTTCGTTGCCTGGGATCTAAGTCGGCAATGATATATGCCGGGGTATTGGTTCGCATTATTTTCAATATGTCTGGGTATGGAAATTGTGGGCGCCGGGGTGTCATGTATGCTGTGCCGATTACGAATTTGCCACGGTTTGTCCGCAGTTCTACTGCAAGGAAGTCTTCATTAAAGTCGTCTATAATTTTCTGCTTGATTATTCTTTTGATTCATATGGCAACTCGTTTAGTATATTTCTTTGGTAGATGTAGTAGCCAAGATCTTTATCAGCTTGTTGTTCTGGAGACTATGAGCATTAATTAATATTATGTCTGGATCTTCGTTCGGATTTTTTTTTTTTTTTTTTTTTTTTTTTGAGAGTTCGTGTTTTTTCGTGCGCCAATTTAGGACGTTATGTTGGATTGTTCGAAATCTATTTAAGTACATGCTTGCTGTATTTAGGAGTGCCTCTAATACTAAGTCAGGGTCTGTAGAGGACATTCTGGCAATGTGGTGTTCGCCTCTCGACCCCTAATGATGCTGTTGAATGCATCTTCTTCCACATACATCTTGTAGGCGCTCAGGTCGATGATTCTGCTGTGGATCTGATCTTTGAT